TGGTTCATACACACACATTTAGGTCAAAGTCAAATGCAATACAGTGGCATTTGTGCTTTGTTGGCTTTGGGTAAATTTTGTTGGCTTATAATCTACTTTTATCTTTTTGATTATACATAATCACTATCACTAAAACCTACCGTTTGATGGATTTACTGTGTTAATAATTTATATATTTTTTAAATTTAAATACTATGCTTAAAATAAATATTAATAAAAATATGATATTTTATAACACAAGTATTCATTATATTGCAGAGGTATTTCGTTTGAAAAAAGAAAAAAAAAAAAAAAANAGAAAAAAAAAAAAAGAGAAAATCGAAAAATAAGGGCCAAATTTGGCTAGCGATTAGTCCGACCCACTCAATAATTTACGTGTACAAATAGTTATTAAAAAGATCCACAATATATAAAGTCATAAATTCTTGTGGACTAACTATTAGACAAGGCCGTTTTGTCGTATATTCTTAATAAAAACAGATACTTAGATTATGTAATGTGATACTTTTGTTTATATTGTCTTATCTTAGTCCTCTCCTATTGATATTAGATTGAATCCTTTTTTTTTTTAATAATGACATTTCGATATCAGTTGAAAAAATATGACTGCTTAACATTTATGTATTTATAACAGTAATTTACCAATATAAAATTACCATAGTGTTTCTCGATTAAGCGATTTATTTACTAGACGGGCACATTTAATTGAAATATCTATTTTTACTTAAAAAAAAATATGATGAATTGACGCGTCGAGCGATTAAACTCGAACACACAAATAATTTGTGATAAGATCAAGGTCAAATAATTCATACCCTGACATCCCACAATAAATCCATAGATACTGGAAATCTAAATTTGTGGTTCAATGAAAGTGATGTAAATTATGAAGACAATAAATAGTATACATTAATTTTTCCAAAATATAATGAAATGGCTTATATATATATTGTGTTTTCATGTACTTGAAGGCAAATAACGGTTTCAAAGAATTATTATTCACTGTTTTTTTGTTTCTCCTATTTTTGTGAGACAATGGATTTATAATTTCGGTTGTGTTTGGTAGGGGACCGACGTGTAGTAACACAAAATGACCTTTGTACAAACCTAAGTTGCTATCAAGCAATTAAAGCAAAAACACTCTCATACAACACGACATTCACGAAAACAATTTTTTTTTAACTAAATAAAATAAACAAAATAGTGTGAAAAAGAAGTTACAAAAGAGTTTGACCGAGTTCGAGTCAGAGTTAAGTGTACTCGAACTCGAGTCGAGGTAAAACTTGTATTTTATGAATTCGATTGTCTGATCATTCGCTCGAGTATATGTGTAATTAATAAATTAAACAAATATAGTACTCATGTTAAATTCGGCATAAAATCTAGCAAAAACTTTCTTAAATTCAAATAAATATTGAGTTAGTGAAGCTCGAACGAATAACGAGCATTTGTATAATATATTCGTGTTGAGTCGAACATTAAGAAGTTTGGTTCGTCAAACTCGAACTATGAGAGTATTGCTTGACTCGGCTCGGGTAGCCTATTGTACTTTTTTCTTTTCACCATTAGGATTATTTCCCCATATAGACTGAAGTTATTACATCAGTCATCATTGATCGACCAAATTACATTTCAGTATATTTCTCCACATTATATCAACTAGTATGTAACCCGTGCGATGCACGGACTGTATTTACTTTGGAGAATATTAAAAATTAAAATGCATTAATAAATAAAAGAGTGATAATTCGTAGGAAAATTATCGAACCATAAAATGTTTCTCATGCAAAAAAATATATTATTTAAACTTTCTTGTACACAATATTATTTGTTTAATAACTGAGCAACTCGTCGTCCCCACAAACTAATATTTTCAACACTTTTCTATTTTTTACACGCGAGACAAACAACATAATTGTCTGTGACTAAAAATCAATTTCTTTAACAACATGTCAACGTACAATAAATGCTGACCTTGACTTTTCTTGATCTATTACTTAACATGCCAACCTACAATAAATGTTGACCTTGACGGAACTCCATCTGTCACCAATCTGTCGCTGATCCATATATTTAGTTGGAATAAATTTTTCATTGGAATTTCCGTTGGATTTTGACGATTCTAACGGTGGATTTTTCAACGGGGTAGAAATAAAAATTTCAACGAAATTTGCGTATTCAAATAAAAATTCCTACGGTAAAAAAACCATTGGAAATATAGCAGTTGAAACATCAAATTTCTAATATTGACACTCACTCTTGTTTATCGTTATGACAATATAAATGAATATTTATCTAAGTAACTTAATCTTTGAAATGTAGTGATCGTGTGTTATTTTTTAATTCCGTGATTGATGGACTCTTTTATTAATTAGTTGGTTTGAATCAATATATAACAAATTTTGTTGCCGATCGTTATTAGAATATTTAAATTAATTTGTGTAAATGCATAAATAAAAAGAGACCTGAACTATGAAATTTTTTCCATCTTTTGAAATCAAATAAATGACAAACACTATCTTTTAAAATAAATAACGATAATGATTATAACATTGTATTATCAAAACCGATAAGGTATATAAAATTCGTTTTCCTTTTCATATCGATAATGAAGAAAAAAGTCTAATTGGTGAAAAGATGATATATACAAATCATGATTTTAGAAATTTGATATATATACAAATCTTAGCATGCGGTTACAAATAATTTAATAATATAATAATATACTGAATGAATTATGATTCAGATTCATGCAAATAAAATTTTGAACAGATTTCTAAAATCATGATATATACAAATCATGATTTTCCTTGGAGATTTACTCGGATTTTTAAATTGTTTGAAAATCACGATTTCTAAGATCATGATTTATTCTGATTTACATTCGGATTTCCAAATTGTTTGGAAAAATAGAAGATTTATTCAAATTTTGATTCCTTATTGTTTACCAATATAAAAGTATTTGATGTTATTAATAAAAAAAAGGAAAAAAGTCTGATTTACTATTTTTAGGAGATAATTAATGAAAGTGCCGGGAAATTGTTTCTAAACTTGATTTATGTTAATCCTTATTATATAGGATTAACATTAATGTTAACATATTTGTTAACATATAAGTAACATATATGTTACTTTCACGTAAATACTAATATATATATATATATATAAATTATTTCTAACAATTATTAGAAATATGATTGATTCTTAAAAAGAAGCTTTAATTGAAAATTATTAATTAAATATTTTATATTGTATTTTAAAAATTTCTAAAAATAAGTATGGTAAGTGTATTTCTTAAATTAAATGTATTAAGTGTGGTAAGTGTATTTCCTAGATTTATTTTGATTTTGATTCTATATATGTTATTTTAATCCTAAAAAAATTAGATAAAAAAGGTATGTTAATAAATAGAGATTTTGTTAATTTACTATTTTTAGGCAATAATTAATGAAATTGGCGGGAAATTATTTCTAAAAATGAATTATGTTAATCCTTATTATATATTAATAGATTGTTATTATATATAAATATAAATTAGCCTAATCAATTGAGGTAAAAATGGACTTCTACATTCTACATCTTTCTCATGGCCCAATAGTGGCCCATTTGTAGACTTGACGGTGCACTGTATTTGATTGATGGATTACGCATTTCCACATTCCATCCATTCAAGCCCAATTTTCATATTTTTTTAACCGATATTCATACTTTTAAATTAAAATATAAATTCTAAAAAATAATATGAATAAAATATGCATTTCATGGTATATGTGTACATTTTTATCAATTAAAAAAAAAGTTATAAAAGTTCAATACAAGGTGAAAAGTTAGTTAGAGTCTAATTTATAACTCATCCTCCTATTTTCCCAACTAACCACCAAGTTTATCTCACTTATATTCCCATTTAATACATAACTAGTACTAATACTCATGTACAACATGAGTCCTGAGTTAATAAATATATGTGTAAAGTTATTTATGTCTAATACCAAACTTAACTCCAAAGTAAAAATAATATAAAAACAACATCACGAATCATAGATTTTCGTCATGGCAGCATCCGAAGCGTGAGAATCTGCCACTTAGACTCAACACGTTTTGAATTAATATATAAGGAGAGATTATTTAATTAATTGTCATGGCAGCATCCGAAGCGTGAGAATCTGCCACTTAGACTCAACACGTATTGAATCTATTATTATAAAAAGAGAGAACCTAAATAATACATAAATAGTAACTAAAAAATAATTTGTATTCCCGCTAAAAAATATGCTAGATATAGTAAATTTCTTTTTGAAATTTTTCATTTGCCGGTTTAAGTAATAATAAAAAGAGAGAACCTAAATAATACATAAATAGTAACTAAAAAATAATTTGTATTCCCGCTAAAAAATATGCTAGATATAGTAAATTTCTTTTTGAAATTTTTCATTTGCCGATTTAAGTGGTAACTTTCTTTGAATTTTTTCATATTGCGTATAGATATTAGATAGATTTGGTTTATCAAATTGTGCCCGATTTTCATGTGCCTGTTTTTGGATGCTTTGATTTGAAATTTTTGTTGCTAATTTGATTGCTAAATTGGATTTTCACATTTTGTGAATATTTTGTAGACAATCTCCACATCTATTACTATATAAAGGAGATAAGGACAAATATATAATTAGTAAGTCATTTTTTCCGCTCATTTTTTCGTTGTATACTATTTATGGTAACTTTTTTTTCGGAAATTTTGAATTCTCCCGCATGTGATTTTTTATTTTTTATTTTTAAATTTGAAGAAAAAAATAAATTTAAAAAATATAAATAAAAAGATCACATGGAAATTTTTTGGAGATTTCATTTATCTAACTTCCATACAATAGGAACGGGACACTTGTCCCGTTTTCATATTTTATATGATAAGATAAATATAACTCAAATTATTGATATTATTTTATATTAAAAAATAAAATAAAAATATCAAAATTTGTATTATTTCATACTCTATAAATAGAGACTACTCTTGATATGTTTTGGGACACAATTAAATTATTATGTTGGGTTAGGTTGTAGATAAAATAATAGCAAAAAATTTATTGTAGATAATATTTATGAAATAAATAAATGAAAATAAAATAAATATTATACTATCTTTATTGAGTCACCAACTAAAAAACAATAAAAGGATTAAAAAATAGCAAAGTCCGTGACCCAGGTCAAAGTGTGATCCTAGGTCGCAACCTAGCCACAAGGAGGGAGAGAGAAATGAGGTGAGTAGAATAGGGCAAGTGTCCCATTCTTATTGGTTTATAATTTTTTTAAATATGATAATTGTAACTCCAATTATTGATATTAATTTATATGAAAAAAAATAAATAAAAAAATATTTTTTCATTCTCTATCAACAGAGACCACTCTTGATATATTTTGGAACATAATTGCAATTTCTCTCTTTTCACTCTTTTTCTTAATCGTAACTTATCAATTTTATCATATCTTTTATTTTATCATATCACAACTAAAACAATAACAAAAAATTTATTGTAGATATTATTTAATAATAAATAAATAAAAGTAAACTAAAAATTATGTTGGGTTGAGTTAGGTTGGGTTTGAGATAAAAATATGTAGGTTGTTAAAAGTTAGATTGTATAGGTGGAAGAGAGAGAAATAGTTTTTTATTATTGGGTTGAGTTGTGGATAAATATAGTATTATGTAGGTTGAGTTGGGTTTGTTTTGTTTTTTTTTTTTGGTTGAGTTGGGTTGAGGATAAAGATATGTAGATTGTTAGAGCATCCACAATGCTTTGGGTCTCTTTTTGCATATGTGCCAAATAAATAGACTTAAGTCCATAATGACATGGACAAACCCAAACTAAAAAAATCCAAAATCTATCAAATGCAAAACAAAAAAGTACTAGGTTTAGAATACATGACAACCAATAAAAATGCTATAATATATTTCATTTATTAAAAGAAAAACTAAATGAGGAATAAATGATGAGTGCTTGGGTTTGTACTTGGGTCTAAAATAGACCCAAGTGTGGACTAGGTCTCATTTTTTTATTGCCACATAAGCTAGACTAGGTCTACATTTAATTGCATTGGAGAACACTTTTTTATAGACTAGGTCTATTTCTTCATGGCATGTAACTTTTTTCTAAGAGACCCAAAGCATTGTGGGTGCTCTTAAAAGTTGGATTGTATAAGTGGAGGAGAGAGAAATAATTTTTTATTAATGTGTTAGGTTGAATTGAGTTGTTGATAAATATAATCTTAGTGCACAAAAGTTGGGTGAGGAGAAATCATGTTTTTTTTTTCATGTGTTTTGGACATGATTTAGACTCTAGGGTTCTCATTAGTTATATTTTTGGAGATTGTTTTTTCTTTTCTACTTTTGTGTTTATTGCATGCTAATTACAATATTTATCAAGCTTTTTAAATATCTGAATAATCTTTATATAAACCAAATAACGTGTTTTCAATTTTGAAAATTTTCGTTCATCCCACCTAAAGCAAGTTTTTTTAAATTGCAATATGAGATTGCTTAAAAGAAATATTGGATGGTTTTGATTTGTTAAAGAAAAAAAATTAGCTCTACTTTAAAGTTTGGATTCGTTTCATTACTTTATGTACATTAACAATCATAGATTAATTAATTGATTTAAAAAAATCAAAATAAAAAGGTCCAATAATATTCATTAAATAAAATATATTGTATAAAGAGAAGTGTTTAATAATATATAATTTTTCTTTGTTTTTATTTATTCTAACTCTGTAATGAGATGAGATGTAAAAAATATAAACAATTATATTTAAAATAAATTCTAAAAAAAAAGTTTAAAATATGAGCTCCTCCGTGCATCGCACGGGATTCACACTAGTTAATATATAACGAGAGATTATTTAATTATTTCCTATTTATCTATTTTTCTTTAGAGTGACTTTTGATCAAGCATTTCTCACCTCTCAAATCCCTTCAAAACCCCGAAAAACAAGAAGATTCCACAAAGCTTTTTTCGTTTTCGCGGTTTCCCACCAGAAAATACCGGGAATTGCATTTTTCTCCCCCATCCAGCCACACGTGTCGCTTGACCACCACGCGCCTCCCCTCAAAATCCAACACACACCCTATTTCCCCAACACGCCCCCTCATTTTCTCCCAATTTCCCCTTTCTCCACCTCGATCTGCAGATTTTTTTGTTCTCTTGTGTTGTTCGGGTCTCCGTTTAATCAATCGGATCTCCGATCGGGCGGGCGATTTCGATTCGCCGATCACGGGCTCAGTATCTCTCCAGCCGATAGAAATTAGGGTTTGGGTTGTTGAAGACAAGAGGTCAGGTCTCCGTTTTTCTTTGTTCGGTCTGTAATTTTGTTTGTATCTAGTCGTGGGTAGAGGGTTGGTTGCCGTGGCCTTGCTAGGTGCTTAACTTAACCGGCTAGGACGCGTTAGATTCACTGTTTCGAGCTCCGGGGTTCGGTAATTTTGGTTTGTGTGTGTGTGTGTTGTGGAAATTATTTGATTCTTTTTTGTGTATATATATGTGTAGGAGTAGTTTTGCTTTCCACCAATTTTGATCGATCTGATCGGTGTAGCTGAATATAGAGAAGATTAGCGATGTTTTTTTTGGTTCTCTACAAGAAATACTCGGTGAAGTTTTTGGTGCTTTGTTTTAGTTTGTCATTGGAAATAGAGGGTTTTCTTGTCTGAATCGTCTGTAGGAGTTGGCGTAATCCTGCCAAAAGAAAAAAAAAAAAAAAGAAACAAAAATACGGAAATAGGTAGATAGAGAGAGAAAAACGAGAAGATGATTTGAAGGGGAAAAAAAAAAGAAAAAAGCAAGAAAAAAAAGGTGATTAATTATTCTACGAAGCAAGGTTGTTCTGGTTTTTTGCTGGGATATTGTTTTTTCCCGGTTTAGTTTGGGAAGATAGCAAACAGAGGAAAGGTAGGGATCTAGATTTGGCTGCAGAGGTACTGAGATGGCCTTGAACTATCCGCATAGGCCTGTGTTTACACCTCATGTATCTGAAGATAATTTGTGGTCTCCTATGAGGATTGTGAACGGGTGTCTTGCTGAGGGTGTTCCTGATAGGAATGGGGATGGTTTTGGAAGGTCCTGGCATGTAAGTCGAGGAGAGTTCGAAGATTGGCAAATTAACGGTCGGAAGGACAGAGCTGACCGTTGTCGCTCGCCGGAGTCTAATTGCAAGGACATTGTTGATCTTTTGCCCTCTGACCCATTTGGGATGGATATAGAGACTACCTTCACAGCCATCACTGGATGGCTTGAGGACTTGGAGGTTGACTACGGTGGGTATTTGAGTAATAGCAACGGGAGGGCCGGTCAAGAAAACTATGGTTTATTTGCTGAGTGGAGTGTAATTTGGAACAACGCTTTGAAGTTCCAACCGTTTTGCCGAAATCATCAGTACAATCAGATTGGACTTCAGTCCTTGAGCAATCCTCAAGTTGACGAGAAGTCTCGTGTGGATACACATTCTTGCTCAAGCAGTAGTCAACATGATGAGAAACTGAATATGACCAATAACACGATCCAACTTGGAGAGGAGAGAGATATGGGGGGTGCGTTGGGCCTTTATGACTTTGGATTTCAAACAGCCCGTGATGAAGGGGGAATTACGGGCTTTGGCAACGAGAGTACTTATTGCAGACCTGAGCTGCAATCTGGGAAAAAAATGGAGGGTGATGATATAGAGGAGGGAACACTGCATGAAGCTTGGAATTTTGCATTAAGCTATCTGGGAGTGAAGGACCTTTTGTCTATGGAGAGGGTCTGCAAGTCCTTACGGGCCTCAGTGCAAGAAGCTTACTGGCTGTGGATGAGCATCCACATCGATCAGCCTCTGAACGAGAAGATCACGGATGAAGTTCTTCTCCAGTTGTCTAGCAGAGCAAACGGTAACCTGCAGTGCCTGAGTTTGGTGGAGTGCCCGAAAGTCACAGATGATGGCATAAGGCGTGTGCTCGAAACCAATCCGAGGTTAACTAAGGTCAGTGGCTGTACTTGCTGTATTTTGTAAGTTTTTCGATGGGTGTTACCCTTTTCGTCTCAATATCTGGTTAAGTTTGTATAGATGTAGAGATTGTGTAATGTGTGATTCCGTTTGTACATCCGTATTTATATTTAATTGCATGAGCTATGTTTTCCTTATCATGTTAAAATTTCCTTCTTTTGTTTTGCCTGAATGTTTGTGTCCATATTATTGAATCTGTTCCAGCCAATAATAATGCTGCCTTTTTAGTGATTTAGATTTTTAGAGAACAATCTTTTACTTTGTGGCTTCATAGTGCTTGCTAATCTCCGGCAATGTTTTTTTTTTCTTTTTCTTTTTTTCTCATTTTGGAAACTGTTAATGTTTAATTTTTTACTTTTTGGCTCCATGCTACCCTTTCAGGCTTGAATGCATTTGTCTCGTTTCCTTTATAGAATTGTATAGTTTTCGTTGCCAATGAGTTTAGCAATAAAAACTAGCATTATGTTGGATGTTGTTGCCAGTTAATAAGCTTAGATTCCCATATTAATATCCATTCTTTTTTATCTTTTTCCATTTATTGATCTGTGCTGATTGTGCATAATTCTTGAACTGCATTTAATGCCTGTTACTTTGTTTTCATTATCATGTGCATGACTTATGTTCACCGTATATGGTATTACTTGGTATAACTATCACATATCATCTGTGATGCAGCTCTTTGTCCCAGGCTGCACGAGGCTCACCATTGAAGGGATTTTGAATAACATAAAGATTCACAACTCCAATAAAGATTTCCAAGGCATAAAGCACCTGAGAATAGGCGGGCTATATGGCGTGACACGTGAGCACTTTGAAGAGCTGAAATTGTTAATAGGCCTTGAAGGCCTCAGGCCCGAAAACCGTCCGAAGCCCCATTTCTACCACAGGGGAAACTTTTATCTTCCTTTTGATGACAATCGGGCCATGGACATCGAGATGTGCCCGAGATGTGAGAAATTCAGGCTGGTTTATGACTGTCCGGCTGAAGGCTGTCAGGTTAAAGAGATGGCCTCTCAAGCATGCAGAGGTTGTGCGCTCTGCATCGCAAGGTGTGCTCAGTGTGGGAGGTGTGTTAGCGACAACGAATATGAGGAGACTTTCTGTTTGGACCTGCTTTGTTCAGATTGTTTCAAGCAGATGCTCAAGTGCCAAAATGGGGTGGATGAGAAGGGTGATTATACCTGCAGATCTTTACACGAACAAAGGTATAATACAAACTGATGATACTACGCTTAATATCGAATCAAGATTGTCTTGACCTGCATTTGAGCATTGAGATTTATGTTGAGCTACTACTTCGTAGTGGGACAGTAGTTTTTGTCCGGGCCCTTCGGTGGGCCGCTTTGGCCCTATTTATGTACTACCATATGAGAGAATGAGAAAGGAGCCCAAAAAATCAAAAAAGAAAAAAAAAATGAAAAAATAAAAAGGAAAAAAAAATGAAGAATAATATAAACCATTTGTCTCTCAAAGGCCACACGGTTGATACTCGGTTGCCTGCAGCGGCTCTTTTTTCGAGCGGATCGAGTTTAAAGTATGGGAATTCGGGTTTGTTCGGAGGCATGTGCTTGTGATCTATCTAAGTATGGGCTTTCGGGTTTGTTCGGAGGCATGTGCTTGTGATCTCTCTATACAGCCTTTGACTTGACTATGTGGGTAAAGATTGAAGAACAGAAGGAAGTGAAGTTTGGTAAGGATCGGCCAACGATCTATCGGTCTTTGGTGCAAGTTTGTGTTTAGTTTCATACATATATGTTCTATATTGACTGCTGTGTTGTTAACAACCTTCTTATTGCCACATGAATGAATGATCTATTGTTTACTTGTCATGAGTAAGGGGTTAATTGTTGAGGGGTACTTTTGCTGGATTTTTAATGTTTGTGATAGGTGAGCTTCCAAATGCATTTTCTCATGACATGTTTAAAGATAGTACTTTCTATTTTTAAGGGAAAGGCCTGTACTAGAGTGGTGTGTTTCATTTCTGACATGTTTAATGTAAAACAGAGAACTATAAAAATGTATTGGTTGCTATGTAAATTAGAAAACTATGAAAAAGTAAAATGGATATAATAAAGAACAAAATGTTCTTTTCAGATGATATTATTCCCTTAAAGCTGTAGAGCATCTCCACTGAATCAAATACTTGTAAGAGAGAATTACTTTTTGATTGAATGAATGATTTTTGTGTTAAAGGTTGACTAAGGGCATGATTTTTGTGTTAAGGGTTGTGGATGCCCTTAGTCGTAATACATGAGAGAGTTACTTTTTGATTGAATGAATGATTTTTGTGTTAAGGGTTGTGGATGCCTTTTGTCGTAATACATGTAGCTCAGGCGTTAAAGTGTGCAATTGTTAATTTTAAGGGACATTACATAGCATGAAAGGAGTTTTATCAATACAAGACCTGAAAAATGGGTAAACTATTAATGCAGGGATCGATTTTTTTTTTTTTT